TGCTTCGCCTTTGAACCGTCCTCGGATGCTCTACCTTTCAAGCAAATGGCAAGTCCATCGGAGGATGCATGCTCCCATCCATGATGCAAATGCCTGCACTCTCCATAATAGGGCTCGGTCGACAATCCCCGAATTTTCCCCGCAAAGCAAAGCTTTTGGCAACCAGGTGTCAACAGCTTGCTCTGGCGATGGCCCGGCCCTGTCAGGTGTGCATCGCTCGCGGTGCACACCGAGCAATCCCATGGGGAGAGGAAAGACCCCCCCAGGCGCAGGCTGGGCGCAGAGGGCCGAGGGGTGAGAGTGAGGTGAGTGGGGTGCTGGAGGGGTGCTTGAGATGATTGTCAAGGGATGGTTGGGGGAAGTCGAAGTTGCTTTGTAGGATGTTGTTTGCGAGCTATCCTGTCACCTGCCATCCTGTTTTGGAGTTGTATGCGGTGCTGAAACAGCGTCAAGTGCTCGAAAGGCCACGGTCTTAACCCCTTGAACCCCACGGGCAGAACACGAGGATCACCAGTGGTGATCTAGTCAGCCCTGAAGGAAGTGCCTCACATAGAGGACAAGTCACATCGCAGGTGGCCTTGCATTCAATGGACGAGGCAGCAACTGCCAATTGGCCGTCAGCACACTTGCTGTTCAGTAGACAGCAGCAGACCACAGAGCCAGACAGGAACGATACCTTGGTTCCAAAAGCCGAGCCGCAGCAAGCCCAACGCAGGCTGGGAAAAGCAGCATACAGTGAGAGGAAGGAATTCCCAGATCGGTTCCCTGGCATCAGCAGTGATATATGAAATTATCCTTTTTTGACGTATGCACACGCTCATGGCAGTAGTGTTAAGCAGATCGCCTGCCTTGCAGAATGTCCTGACTCCCATTCAATCGGCGTAACTGTTTGGCCACAGATCAACCGACCTGGTAGAGATTGGTCGCATCTGATTTGGCCAGCACCGATTTAGTTTGTTTTTGTTCTTTTTCTGCGCGTCAGTTCAATCGAAGACATGGCGAATGACTCCCTGATGGCTTATTGGTTAGGGGTGGTCCAACCCCCCCACCAAAAGAACACCATGGGTGTGTTCTCAAAGGACAGCGAAAGGAGACATTCCCCCCCATAACCATATGGCCTTGCAACACACACGCACACACACACACACACACAAATGCGCGGGCCAGGAAATGGCGCGGGCCAGGAAATGGCTATGAAGTTTGGTTGGAACACCCTGAATGGTGGACCAAAATACCTGTGATCAGATTTCCACTGTAAGTTTAGCGCAGCGGAACCCTCGTGGCCGGCACCTACCGGACCAAAATGGGCCCTGGAAAATGATGTTTCAGGTACATACCCTCCCACAGGTGCTGTCTTAGTGGGAAGAGGGCAACCCCATCACAGTGATGTCCACCAAAGGGCCCTCAATTCACATTCATACGCCTTAAACAAAGTACAAGCTGCAAGGTCAACGTGCAGGTTGCAGCGATTTGGTTTCCGTATCTGGAGAAGCAAATATGAAAGTCGTCGTTGAAAGGGTTGTTCAAGTCTTGCTCTGCTGTAGCTCCAACTGGACTTTCTCGACATACTTGTACCATTCGGAACCACCCTATCAATTGAACTTTGCAACATTGACAGGCAATGAAATCGACCATGCTGCGATATATTTGGCTACACAGGACATGATGTGAGGCTCGTGTTTGCCACATGTAGCATTATTGAAGACAGGGCGTGCCCCTTTTTGCCGGTTTCGCCTTCTGGTTTTCAAAGGCAAGCACAAGGAACCAAAGATATGCAAACCAAGGAGAATCCAAGCTTCGAAGAACAAATCCTAAGGGTCCAAGTACCTTCTAATGAGGTATGTTCCCCTCTTTTCACACCCAAAAAACGGCCCTACACGGGCCTTAGGCGTTGGCTTCGCCCTCGCGGAGCTGCGAGCGGCGAGGGCCAATATGAATACCAAGCGGGCGGCTGGGGCAACTTGGCCGGCTGCGTTTGGCCGGGGCGTTGGGATGGGGAGAGGGATTTGGATTTGGTGTTTTTGTGGTAACAAAGTTGGGACAGACTCAGGCAGCGTTTGCTCTCTGTTTGACGAAACAGATCATGTCAGTCCGCTCCTTCAAAAGACATGTTTCTTGGCAAGCGGAGCAGGCCTCTGTCCGAAAGCAATGGATGAGATCACTTGACTCTTGATGTTGATTGGAAGTTGAAGGAGTCGGAAAACGGCCAATGTCAGGCCCAAAGGTGACTCCTCTCGCACTTTTTGCGGCATTGTGGTGACGAAGTAGAGACTGATTTGCAAAAATATTGGCAGACCATTGTTACTTCCCCAACCTTGCCACAAAAAGCAATCATTGCTTTGTCCGTGGTTTATAGTATATGGCAGTTGGCTTGAGTTGGGGGACCCCAAAATGGTCGGCTTTCTGTTGTTGCAAGTTACACCCCAATCAAAAACGGGTACCCCAACACGAGACACACTCAAACCGCATGAAGCTTAGTGTATGGAAAAACAACAGCCGCGTGCTGGCAATCCGAAGGTGAACATGAGCAAGTATCCGTCAAGTGTAGGTCAAGATAAAGTCCACAGAGTTCTTCACTTTCAAATTTCAGGAGTCAGGATCAGAGAGCTGCGAATCCCTAAGCAACACAATGAAATGCAACACGTTTAGGCTGCCTTGTCCTGACAGGCATTCACGTTTGCAGAGCTGCTGCTAGAATTATCCTATGGGTATGTGGTCGTTTCGGACATGTGCAGGATTGTTGCTTCGTATTATAGTGTGAAGAACATCTTGAGTGAAACTGAGAATTCACCAATGTGCATAGGACTTTTCACTCAACATGTATTCCCTTGCTGCCAGAAATGAATGGGTGGCAAAGTTTGCCTTTGCAACCCGTGTTAAGTCAGTTTGGCACTTTGATCTAACTCGTGCAGGGATCCTTCAGCCTGGAAGATTATTTCTACGGAGCAATGCCCGAACGTTCTGGTGGACTACGCAGGCCATGATATGACCTGAGTTGACCGGCCTTCAAATAGATGAACCATTTTGTTGGGCCTCTAACAGATGAAGGCTGCGGTCAGAAGTTTTAACCTGGCCAACACGGCAAACTGGCTTAAGCGAAAGGGCCATGGGAGCCGCGGACCCGAGGCTCTGCCTCTGGGCTCCAAAGCTGAGATGGAGACCAGCTGGCAGGAAGAGGCCTGGAGCATCTGCCACACGCGACTTGAGTTACCTGGGTTTTCAATCGCACTTGTCCATTTTCCACCAGGCGAAAAACCGGGATGGCCGCAATGGTCGATTTATTTCTTCCGTATCCTATTTGCCAAACCCGGGTTGCCTTCGGGGTTTGCAGGCAAAGCTGAAGGATGCCGAAGCTCCGGTTTGGGTTTCATTTCCCATTTAGATAGTCAATTTGGGCTTCGTGCTCTTCGGGAAGGTTCTCAACAGCATGTTTCTGTTGACGTGGTCACCAGTTTGGCCGGCAGGCAGAAGCAATGTAAGCCGTTCGCGGCCCGCCCGCAGGTGCAGGCGGCCTTGTTGCGGGAGAAGTTGCTTCAGGAGAAGTTGGATGCGCTGGAGGCGAAGGTGGGGTGAAGAGGTCAAGTTTTCACGAGGGAAAGGGATGGAGTGAAGGTTTGAATTGGGTGATTGGGAGAAATGGGCGGGAGTGGTACATCAGACCCTGCGTTCGTAGGGGTGAGTCGTGTCCATTTCAAGGAGCTGTATGATGACGCATCCAAGGACTTGGCCTCAAGTACCATTGTAAATCGTACAACCATGTGAAATACGCCGGCCCTAGAAGTCTCGGACCTCGGACCACCAAAAGCGGATTGCTTATGCAAAGAATAGCCCCTGGATTTCCGAAACCTGACGACCTGGCCAAGTGCCAAAAACATCTGGAGCAGCAGTCACCTAGGTTCGCACGTGCATCGCGATTTCTTAGGCTCATGTCAAAAAGAGACCACCTTCACTTGGGCTTCAGAAACGGGCTAGAAACACCCAACTGGGGCGAATGAGGGCCCAGGTAATTACTCAGCGGGAGGGGGGGGGGGGGTCAACTCGATTTTCCCTAGCCAGGCAAGTTCTAGCAGATGTGGCCCCCTTTTGTACCCCGGTGCCTCCTTGTGCCACCTTTCCAAGGGAATTCCAAAAAGGAGTCCCTACTGTGGGATGGACGAAATCCTGCACCGCCCAGGAAACCCTGGAATGATGATTCCCCTGTAAATAGACCAACAAACAATGGGTTTCCCATGGTTTCGAAGTGGTGCGACATGGATTTCGTCCATCCACGGTATGTTTGACCATCCGCGTCGAGCGCAAAACGCCTCCCTGAGGATGCCGGCAGCATGCCGCCGAGCCGCAGGAACTCCTCCAAGTCGAGCTGCCCGGGGCGCCGTGGCCGAACCGGATCTCCTTGGAGCTTCCTCTCTCGAAGTACCCCGCAAAAAAAAGAAGAAGTTTGTGATTGTCCCAAACTTATGGGGGTGAAATCAATTTTGTGGATTGATTTGAGGGATTCCTGTTTCCGTGGACTTCCACTTAATCCAAGCAATCGTGGACTTCCCCTTTCTGGTTTCCCTTTCACACCGAGCAGGGAGTCCTCCCTTTGGTGTCCTGTTGGTTTGCGTTTCAGAAAGCAACCAGGCAAGGGTTCCCGGTGCTCCCCCATCTAAGCAACATGTCCAAAGGTACCCCGGTGTTCTCGCCACCTTGGGGTTTCCCTTGAAACCTCCAACCACACCCGGCTGCCCAAACCGCAAGCGACTCTACGAGTTGCGGACCACCATTGGGAAGCCAGAGGAAGCCAGCCACTTTGGGCCCATTGGGGCGACGGGATGGGGTGTAGGTTGCGACACCAGTCCTACGCCTTGACAAGTTCTTAAGCTGAGTTGATGTGTTCTCTCTCTTTTTTTTTTATGTAAATTGAGCACATCTTCGAAGGCCGGTCAACAGACCACTTCGGGTCGGGAAGTGTAATGCCTGGCTGTGCTACAATTGATGCAAGTGTCTGAGTCAAGCAGTTCAGATCTGTCTGGAAGCATGGCGCTGCACGACTTGTCCGTTAAGGATGTGTCTTGGGAAAGAAATGCTAGCGTGGGAGGCTGCAAGCAATGGGAGACAAGAAGTGGAGCTTTCGGCGTGCAGTTTCCGCTTTCAGCCCTCACCAAAGTCAACCCTCCATCCGGATGGAAGCTGACAGAGTGTTGGAAGACAACCTTCCTTTGCCCTAGTGCTATCTTCATACCTGGGCATTTCACCTCCCAATCGCCCCCAGCCTTCCGAATGGGACCCAGGGATTTGTGGATCCTCCGAGCTGAGGACTCCGGCTGGAGAGCAGGAGAAGTGGAAGCAAGAGAAGACCATGCTGACCATGGAGGCCATGTGAAAGGAATGGGAGCCCCACCCAATTGGTGGTCTCCTTTAGGGTTTTTCAGACAAAGAAACGCCTTAAAGGGTACCCCGGTTGCATGCATCAACTCTTCAGGACGATTTATGAGTTGACATGCAGCCACATGCGCAACAGTCAAGTATTGGACAAAGCTCGGCAAGAAGGGCAAACTCACCAACTGGTTGATTTTTTTTGGGCCGCAGCCCATGAGTCGGTGTCACAAGCCATTTGAGCATACATCTTCTTGTATGTGTGTGTGCGTGTGTATCCACGCGTAGTTGTTTCTATGTTTGTGCCTGTGCTCATGTCAGTGCTTTGCCCGTGTCTGTTTGTGCGCCTCTCGCACATAGGTTCATTGTCAGCCCGTTTACTCATCATCTTAAGCCACTGATGAGTTTCGTCTTGGGGTGATGTGCAGGGACATGAAGGGGGCCCTGAAATTGGCCACGGAGGATCATTTCCACATTCAACACCTGTTTGGGCTACTTCCTCCCACCCAAATTCTGCGAGTTTTGTGAAGTTTAGTCGTGTCCTTGTTTGCCATTGCCAAACATGATAAAGCATACAAAGGTTTAAGCGCCACTTATGTTGCCATGGGCTGTTCTCTGCATGTTGCGGTCAAGCTGTTGCAACAGTAGCATGAAACAAAGCAGAAAAGCTTGGAGATGGTTGCTGGAGGAATGCATTGTCACAGCGGTTTTGTTTCTTAGGGCGCAGTAGATGCAGATCGCTATCCTACTTTGCTGGGGGGGGGGCTTGACCTCTCCGTGGGCCTCTTGCGCCCCTTGCTGGCCAGGTTGCGCGACTGGAGCGACTGGTGGAGGATGAGAAGGAGCTGGCAAGCCAGAAAGAAAAGATGCAACAGGAGAAGTCTGCCCGTGACATGGCAGAAAAATGTTTGGCAGTTAGTTTTACTTTTTGATTTCACTTGTCTTCATGCCGTACTACACATTTGTCTGCAAAAGAGAACCCCTTGAGGTTTTGCTAAGTTTAGCCTCAGATCAGATCTTGGTTGGCATGAACCTGCAAAGATGTGGTTCTGCTGAACATGTTTGTCAGATGATGTTTGCATTCCTCCATTTTTATCGTGAGCAAGCATAGGTATGTTCAAAGCGTCAATAACTGTCTTGGATTTGAGTCAGTCCCCAGAGTAGAACTGCACCTCGCCCCTCCCCAACATCACCGGCACCCGAGCAATGTGAAGACGAGCATGCCGCATGCCCCAGTCAAAAGCACTCCACTAAGAACCAGAAAGCAGTAACGCAGTTTGAAGTGCAATCAATTCAACCTGCTTTGCCAGTTGGCACCTCACAGGCAAACTCTGGCACCTACTTTCTCGTCTGCCACAAAGACAGTATTCCACAATGTGTGTGTGTGTGTGTCGAACTACACCTACTCGCCTCGCATCTGTGGCTGCAGGTCTGAGCATGACCAATCGTTAGTTGGCCAAGGTCTGGAAGAAGCATTGAAGGACTTGGAGCAGAAGATGTTGGAGAGGAGCCCCGTGCTTTTGTCAGGCGCCAGTTCAGATGCAACCGGGCCGCTTCTTCCTTCGTGCAAGGCAAGGCGAATGCTGGGGAGGCTATACTTGTTTCTTTCCCTTGTTTCGTGTGCGCGCATATGATGTATGCGTATATGTACTATATCTGTATACTTCGGTCACATGTTCAAAGGGGGAATGGCAAAACACCTGGGACGGCGCTCCAGCCTGAGCGCCGGCTAGGAGACAAATGGTTGCAGCACTGTTTGCATTGGCAAAGCATTTTAGTGCCTTTGTTCGACCAAAGAATGCATTCAGCAATGTATCTGTCCATATGGCGTTTCTTCTCTCCTCCTCCTGCATGAATCAGTCCCAATAAATATATAGGCTGCGATATCTGGCCATGCGCAAACATTGCGCGCTGGTCTTCTTGCAGATGCGACGCGTAGAGCCAAGTGGCTAGCCATCTTGCCAAAGCGCAAACTGAAGCATGAAGGTGATATGGCCACCACGTGATGCTATGCGTCCGCTAGCCAGGCTTGTGCCAGTTCGGGCAGCGCTGTACGCAAAATGTGCCAGTCACACCAAGCACAGCCACGACTGCGCCTATGTACCTAATGTTGCACACATATATGCAAGCTTTCGTCAGCTGGCAAAGCAAGCAGTGTGTCGTTATTGCGGAGGTTACCGGGGGTACTATTTATTGCAGAGGAGAGCACTTCCAAAAGCACGTCAAGTGCTCCCTCCCCCCGGCCAGGGGAGGAGAGGCAGCAGAGGTACGGAAAAAACGTGGCAAAGAGCGCGAAACTAAAGTTTATGATTATTAGTAGTAGTATTATGTTTTTTACATGTGCATATATATATATATACACACGTACATAGATGTCAGAAGTGTGTCTAGTGGGAAGATTCACTACACAGAGACAGTCTTCTTTGCATCATGACGTCTAACGGGGTTGCTAGATTCGGCAGGCCTTGGGCATCAGACCGGGAATTGCTGGTCTGTTTATTTCGTTGTGTGATGTTTGTTGAGTTGTGTTGTTGTTTGTTTTTGTTTTGCATCATGTTGTTTCTTTTTTGTTTGTTTGTGTGTATTTATCGTCTTCTTTTCCTTGCTTGCTTGCCAGCTTGCGTGCCTGGCTTGCCTTTCTGTTTCGTTTTCGAGGGTTGGCTTTGTTTTCCCAGGACCAAAGCGGAGGGCAGCGAGCTCGAGACGCGGCTGGCGGAGGCGGAGGCGAAGGCTTCGGCCAAGGACTCCGATGGATTTGTGGGGTGGGGGCGGTGTGGTGTGCAGATGGGCTGTTCGTGTGTTTCCACATGTTTTTTTTTTTTTTTTAGGGAGGGAGGATGTGAGTTGTTTTTGTGTGGGAAACCTCATGGGGTCTGTGGCAAGCTCCCGGGGGTAAAACGAGCTCCCGAGCTCGCGATGATCAAAGCCTTCACATCGTGAAATTGCAGAAGCGTATTTGTTTAAGTTCAGGGAGGATTCCTTGTCGGGGTGGTGTTAGCCACACCTTCGTGGCATGTTTCTTTGGGCTATAACAGAGAAGAAAGGGACACTGAAGCCCCGTTTTGGGAGTACTGTACCTGTTTTTAGAGGATATTCCTTTTTGGGGTTTGCGTGACAAACGGCATTTCGTCATGGCCATCAGAATTCGCATTTTGGGAGTTATTGGGCGGGACAGCAGGGTACCTTGTGGGTAAGAAACTGAAGAGGAAGCCGAAGCCCGGTACCAGTTTCTGAGAGTACCCCACTTTGTTTTGGGTTGTGTTACAGGGAAACCTCTTGATGGTCAAAATCAAAGCCCAAGTCAACACCTAAATGGGCAGTACCTTTGGAGTTCCCTGAGAGTCTTTTTGAAATGGCCGAGCAGTGGAATATACCCTGTGGATTTCGATTTGGATGTCTTGTCTGATGGTATCCCCTTTTGGGGTTGCAGACGAACCAGGGAAACCGAAGACGGGGCAAGCCATATCCCCCTTTATGTTTGAGCCACAATTTCAGTTATTTCAGCCTTGGCGGATTGCTCCAAAGGTGCATATGGATTCTTTGAAACGCACAAACAAGCTAGGGAAGCGAACACACGCGAATTCCTGCTTTGCCTCCTCCTCATTCCCTTGCTTTCTATATCTTTCTATGTACGGACTCAAGACTGAACTGGTGCCCTGCTTCAAGCATATGGCGTGTTCATGGTTATTGGCACACCATCAGAACTGGTTTGGTGGTAGCAAAACGTCTGTCCAAGGGTTCATCACATTTTATCTTCAACTTGTTTTTTACACCCCCCAGTTGGGTTCTCTTGTTGGGGTTGGCTAATTGCCCACAGATTCCGCGGTGGCCGGGTTGGAGTGCAGGGGATCCTGGTTTGCCTTCGGGCTTTCTTGTTCAGGGATCCCGGGAGCCACCTCTTTTCAGGCAACCCTTAATTGGTCATTTGGATTGGTGGTTTAGGGGTTTGTAAAAATAGTAAACCCCCCAGAACACCTCCAAACCAATCCATTTCACCAATTGGGTCTGTCTTTTTCTTGAAGGTACCCCTTTTCGGTTGACTTTAAGAGGAACATGAGCGGACATCCGAAATCCCTTTTTTGGGGGTCCACTAAAAAAGGCGTGGAGGGACCCGCTGACCTTTCCGGTCAGGAGCGCGAGGTGGCAGACCTTCAGAGCTCCGTGCAGGCTCTCTCCAACGAGTCGGACCAGCTCAGGCGGGTTTTGTTCGGGGTTGAAGTTGGCCACGGCTACCCCACAAAAGAGTATCCACCCACTGGAGCCTCAAACCTACGCGGCAAAAAGGGAAACCACCATGATTTTACACCAATGACAAACAGTTCTGGGGTTTGAGGGAGGCCAGCTTGAATGACAAGTCGGAAGGATAGTCCACAGTCCATGCGAGGACTGGAGCGTTTTTTTCTCCCGTTTCGGGGGGGCCTGCAGACTTTCATTTGGATCTCTTTTGAAGCTCGTTTTACGGGTGCACTAAACACGGACTGGAGTCCAACATGTGGAGTTTTGGTTTGGGGGAGGACAAAAGCTGGGTAGTAGGTTGGGTTGGGGCGGGTTACAGCGCTCGAGTGCTAAGTGACCTTTGGCCTACTTTGCAATCCAATTGACAGGGCCATTGAACACTCACCAGCAGTTGATGTTTCCAGGGCAACCCCAGCGTTCAGTCATCGGATAAAGAGACTGACCTCTTCAGATTCTTGTTTGACTGGGCAGTGCCTGTACACCCCCTGATTCTACCACGCCCAGGAGAGCCATGGATTCCCTTTCCAAAAACCCAAGCAGGATCCCCTCAAAGACACACAGACACACGCACATCCCCTTCTATGGGTGTCTCAAAATAGACCCCCCAAAACAAACGTGGACTTCCTCTTGGTCTCCCTTTTTGACTTGACCTTTTCAAGAAAAACACAAACTTTTTTGAAGATCAGCACCCTCGCACCCCCATCCCCACCCCCAAACAGCCGGCAGGCGGGACTTGGCAGAGAGCCGGGCACAGCTGGAGGAGACCCACAAAGCCAAGACGGACCTGGCGGTGTGGCTCGGCCACGTCCAGCTCCATTTGAGCACCCAGAACCGCCGGCCATGTTGGTAGGTGGTTACTACCTGTTTCAGAAGGGGTATAGGATGGCGTATATAAACCTTTGTGACCATGTTAGTAGCAGCACCAAAAGTCAGTGAGTTGTGGGCACTGCTCATTTAGGTGTGTTTTGTTGAGGCTCGGAAGCCTTCTTGGGCTTGGTTTAAAGGGAGCTAAAGAGAAGGAACCAACACATCTCGGAAATTCCTCCCATTTTGATACATACCCATTTCTGGGAGTGGCTAGATTTTGAGGGGTTCTCACGAAGGGCCCATTGAAGTTGTTGTTTTCGGTTGTGTCTTGAGAGGTTACTTTTGGGGGGTTCTCCACGAACGACCGCTTCGAAGGGTCCGTGCATTTTATTAGGGGCCCTGTGGTAACCATCGACATGGGGATTGACGGCCACCGCTAGGAGGGTTCCCTATGAGGGTTCATGTTATTTTCCCCAAAGTATGCCCCGATTTGCCCGATTTGGGATTCCCTTTAAAACCAAACAAGCTTGTTTGGCAATCAGTTTTCCCGCATAGCCAAAAAAATCTTCACTGTCCACCGTTCAGTCGTTTTAGGCCAGCTGAAGCATCTCTTTGTTGACCAAGAAGCTGCCACCAAGTACCCAGTCTGCTCCTGCCAGCATGACCTACCACAACAAGTTTGTCTCAAAATGGTGGGCCAGGGCTCTCCTTTTGGTCTGCCTTTGAACCACAAATCGAAAAGGGTGACCCCAAAACAAGACACCCGCAAATGGTTTCACCGGTTTTCCCAAGATAGGCAAGCAATAGGAAGGCCTATGGGAGGGTGAAGCGGAGAACCCGTGGGCATTTCAGGAAGGCAATGTGCTCCCCGGTACAGCCATGTTTCTTTGTAAGACTACCCCAAGGTAGACTTACACCCAGGGCTTTCCCCATTGGCAGCAGCAACCACTCCTGGGTTTAAGCTACCTTGTGGCGGTCAAGCAATGAACCTCTGAGGGCGATATTTTCGAGGGCGCATCAAGAATCATCTCCCCGCTCCCCTTTGACCTTTGAACGATGTGCTGCGTGTTTCGTTGCTGGTTGACATGTGACGCTTGGAGCTGTGATCAAAGCGACGAATGAGAGTCCCGAGAATGTTCACTCATTTCAATCGCGTACGTTTGTAAAGTTTGGGAGATTGAGCATGACCATGTCAGCGAGCAGCGTTTGATGAAATAGATCATGGTTGTGAAAGAACTGAGAAGTGTTGTCAGCAGGGGAAAGTGTATGTATGCGAAACCTTGCTGTAGCAATAAAATGCAACACGTCTTGCAAGCCGGGAACATCAATGTACATGGATCCTTGTCATATTGTGTGCCATGCAGAACATAGACTAGACCCTTTCATCGAGAACCTTCCTGTGATTGTTTCCAGTCGGCTCCCTATTGAAAGTGCTTCCTTTCTTCCAGGGTCCAGGGTCCTTTGCCTAGATGTTTCCCTTTAACCCACTTCTGGAATGACTTTGATGGGGTCATGGGTATGTGCAAAAGGCCCAACATGACAGCTATCCTCGTGTTTTTCCTGTACAGAAATATGCCCATGGCCGAGGCTTTCGGAGGACCAGCGATGTCAGCTGGAGTCCATGCAGGAGGGTTTTCTGGGATGTGGGTTTCCTGTTTTTGGGCCTGTTTGGGGCTGATTTAAAAGGAAACCGAAGCCATGAGGGGAAGATCCCTATTTTGGCACGTGCACATGTCTTTCCCTTATGTTTCCCTCTGCATGCCATTCAAGGATTACCCTTTCGTTGCCACTTGATTGGTTATATTTATTTAGGGAGACCTGAGGGTGAGTTACCCTTTTTCCAACCATTGGCGATCCACGTGGTTCAAGGTGTGTGGGGTCTTAAGCCACTGGTTTCAAGCTACAGTTGGACGACAGATAGCACAATTCCAGCCCATTGGGTTTAGTCATCCGCTTTACCCACATGAGGGGGAGCTGTTCTCTTTGCCCCTAGTGTACCCTTTTCGAACCGTTGGTGATTACAGCCATTCGAGGTGTTTGGTGGTCAGCGTATGTTTGTGACAGTGATTGGGCAAAATGCCTGCTGAAAATGAGTCCCCATGGAAATGATGTCGCCAAAAGGTTTTGTTTCCAGTCATTAGAGCATTGACAAGAGGTGAGAGGTTTACCTGCAAGGAACCACCAAAACAGACGTTTTTGCACGGGTTGAATTGAAGTATCCACTTTGAAGCAATCATGGAAGTGGAGGGTTTCGTTTGTCATCATGTTCAGCTGACCTCCTGCCCAGTTCCGTGATTCCCAAAAAGGGGTAAACTTTACCAGCTGAACGGTACAATTACCTTTGCTCGGAAGGGGGTCCATATCTTTCAATGCTTGTTTGTGATTCAAGCATTGCTGTTTGGTTGCATTTCTTGACGTTAGATTGGACATACGAGGAACCCCAACGGCATTATCTGGATCTGGGTGCGCGAAATCTAAGCTCCTTTGCGCGTGTGTGTTTGAGGCTCAGTAATTACCTGTTTGAAGGTTGGTTGAAAGGCGAGTGAAATGGACCGGGTGATCCAAGCATGCCCATACTAAGTAGCTACCATTGCCAGAGTCATGCCCGAAGCAGGTGGACGGGATTCAGCCCCTTCTGACTAGCTCCAGAAACCGGCCCAAAATTGGAGGCCGGGGGAACCCCCGAAGAACCGGCCAGGAAGAAATGGAGTCTTCGCAGTCCAAGGCGCGGGTCTTGGAGAAGCTGAAAGAGGATGCGGAGACCAAGTTGATGGAGCACGAGCTCAAGGCGGCTGAAATACTGCCCATCCTTGGGGCTCTGGTCAGGGATTCCAGGAATTTCGCCAGCCTTCCTGGGTTTCTTGTTGAAAACCACCTAGATTTCTTGCAATAGAGTCACAACATGTCCCAACTGGCAAATCTGGGGGGGGGGGACATCAGGTTACACTTATAAGAACCCGGCGGGAGCTCCCCGTACCAAACCCGCGAAGCCCGGAGGTTCAAGACCTCGAGGCCAAGCTTCAGGCGCGGACGGGCGAAACGATACTCAAAAGCAACGCCTGCACTCGCGGCCATGCCATGCTTGTCATTCTATTTGTTTTTGCGTTTCTGTTCTGCTTGATTTGCTTTGTTTATTTTGGTTGTGATTGCTTTGGTGTGGTTTATGTTGGTTCTCCATTTTTTCTTGTTTCATGTTGTTTCTGCTTGATTTAGATTATTTATTTTGGTTCTGCTTGTTTTTTTTGGTGGGGGTTGTTTTGTTTCTGTTAATTTGGTTTGTTGTATTTTGGTTCTGCTTGACGATTTGGTTTCTTACTTTGATTATGCCTGTGTTGGTTTGGCTTGGTTCTGTTGATTTCGGTTGGTTCATCTTGATTCTGCTTGATTTGGTCGGGTTTGTTGTTGTTCTGTTGTCTGATTGATTTGGTTTGTTTCATTTTGGGATTGGGTTCTTTCTTGGTTTGGATGGCGTTTTGGGACTTTTTGATTGGGTTTTTGATTTGGCATTGGTTGGGTTTTCTTGGTTTGGTTCGGTCTGGTTGCCCTCCATCCGCTCGCAGGATGCAGAGGCGGCCGCCATGGCAAAGGCGCTCAGACTCGGTCAGACCCTGGACGGGGCTCGACCCCTTTTCTGGGAGGATGTTTGGAGGAGACGAGTAATCATGGGTTTCATGTGTAGTATCCTCCAAACAAAGGTTTGCAGTTGTAGGTTCGGGTTGACTAAGTATGACACATAATCTGAACAATATTCACCTTTTGCGTACGCCACGTTTGGGCCAGGTGTTTGGCGTGGTGTGTCTCTTTTTGTTTGAGTGGTTTAAGATGCGTGGTAATTATGTGTGTGTGTATGTGTGTTTGTTTGTTTGGCATGCGGTGTTTAGTGTGTGCTTTTTGTTTATACTTGTGTGGTTGTTCGAAGTTCTAGTTGCACTGCAAAGGTTTATTAGGTTCCTGAGCAACTTGGCAAATAGCCAGATACCACAACCGCGAAACCTGCTAATTCCCTTGGGCTGGCATTCGGGAAATGGAGGGCGAATTCCACCAGCGAGCACTTCTTCCCAAAACAAAGCGTGCGAGCATCAGCGAGGCCTGGTTCGAATCATTTCTAATTTTCGGAGAAGGACCTTCAAAGTGCAACACTTTCAAGTCGCCATTCTCGTATTGGCATGATGAAAGGCCCCCTTTCAAGAATGGTAGGGATGTTCATGAACCCGCGTTTATGCGGATTTTGACAGCTGTACCTGGGCAGCAGTTTGCAGTTATGCAACAGGTTGTGGTTGATGCATGGCTCTTTTTGTGCTTTGAACACAGTTGGCTGAAGCACTGTGTTTGCAAGTTGGAATTTGAATGGACAAGACACGAACAGACTAGAAACTTGATATCCGACAATCAACTTCAATGTGTGCCTTCTCAATGGGGCACGCAGCGGAGCTTTGCACCTTACCGACCGGCAGCCCGGGACCGTGAAGCCGTTTGACAGGGACAACCACCTTCAATTGGAGAAACACTTGGAACAGTGTGCAGCACGGAATTCCCGTTTGCTTGTCAGATGACTGCCATAGAAGCAAGCAATGCAGTATCAAACTTCTCTTCTTCCTA